GCATACAAATAAAACCAAGTAATTTGATTCAATCTACTTAGCGGTTTTACTTGTGCAATTGTACTAAAAAAAGCATTTGTGCACATTGGTTGATAAGGTTTCTATTTTTCACTCAAGTGATAAAATTAAGTCAAATTGCTTTTCCTTGGCAAGGCTTTATACAGTCATAACTATCTCTATGTGGTTTTAATGCCAAAACATTATAGACTGCAGTGGTCAACATCTAAATTATGTTTGCAGGTAAGTCTACTCTCACCGATTCTCTTGTTGCTGCTGCTGGAATCATTGCACAAGAAGTTGCAGGTGATGTTAGGATGACTGATACCCGCCAGGATGAGGCTGAACGTGGTATTACAATCAAATCTACTGGAATCTCTCTTTACTATGAGATGACTGAGGAGTCACTTAAAAACTACAAGGGTGAAAGAAGTGGAAATGAATATCTCATTAACCTCATTGATTCGCCTGGGCATGTTGACTTCTCTTCTGAGGTTACAGCAGCACTTCGAATTACTGATGGTGCATTAGTCGTTGTCGACTGTATTGAGGGTGTTTGTGTGCAGACTGAAACTGTTCTTAGACAAGCTTTGGGAGAAAGAATTAGACCTGTATTGACTGTCAATAAGATGGATAGATGTTTTCTAGAGCTTCAGGTTGATGGTGAGGAAGCGTACCAGACATTCCAACGTGTCATTGAGAATGCAAATGTTATCATGGCTACCTATGAAGATCCTCTTCTTGGCGATGTCCAAGTATATCCAGAGAAGGGGACTGTTGCATTCTCTGCAGGGTTGCATGGTTGGGCTTTTACGCTTACCAACTTTGCCAAAATGTATGCTGCCAAATTTGGAGTTGATGAATCTAAGATGATGGAGAGACTTTGGGGTGAGAATTACTTTGACCCAGCCACTAAGAAGTGGACCAGCAAGAACACTGGATCTGGTACCTGCAAACGAGGCTTTGTTCAATTTTGTTATGAACCTATTAGACAGATTATTTCTACTTGCATTAATGATCAGAAAGACAAATTATGGCCGATGCTGCAGAAGCTTGGTGTGACCATGAAATCTGAAGAGAAAGAACTGGTCGGTAAAGCTTTAATGAAGCGGGTCATGCAGACTTGGCTCCCGGCGAGCACTGCCCTTCTTGAGATGATGATCTTCCACCTTCCGTCTCCTGCCAAGGCACAGAAATACCGTGTGGAGAACTTATACGAGGGCCCTCTTGATGATATATATGCCAATGCCATCAGAAACTGTGATCCTGAAGGCCCTCTTATGTTATATGTGTCAAAAATGATTCCTGCTTCAGATAAGGGCAGGTTCTTTGCATTCGGCCGAGTGTTCTCTGGCAGGGTTGCTACAGGCATGAAGGTGCGAATCATGGGGCCAAACTATGTGCCAGGTCAGAAGAAAGACTTGTACGTGAAGAGCGTCCAAAGAACAGTCATCTGGATGGGTAAGAGACAGGAGTCTGTGGAGGATGTGCCTTGTGGAAACACAGTTGCTATGGTTGGTTTAGATCAATACATCACCAAGAATGCCACTCTTACAAATGAGAAGGAAGTCGATGCACATCCAATCAGAGCAATGAAATTCTCTGTATCTCCTGTTGTACGTGTTGCGGTGCAATGCAAGGTCGCCTCGGACCTGCCCAAACTTGTTGAAGGCTTAAAGCGCCTGGCCAAATCAGATCCCATGGTGGTGTGTACAATGGAGGAGTCGGGTGAGCACATCGTTGCTGGAGCTGGGGAGCTCCACCTTGAGATCTGCTTGAAGGACTTGCAAGAGGATTTCATGGGAGGTGCAGAAATTGTGGTATCTGACCCAGTTGTTTCTTTCCGAGAAACAGTGCTTGAGAAGTCCTGCCGGACAGTGATGAGCAAGTCACCTAACAAGCACAACCGTCTGTATATGGAAGCCCGACCCATGGAAGAGGGGCTTGCCGAGGCAATTGATGAAGGGCGTATTGGTCCAAGAGATGATCCTAAAGTGCGTTCTAAGATCCTATCAGAGGAGTTTGGTTGGGATAAAGATCTTGCTAAGAAAATTTGGTGCTTTGGTCCTGAGACAACTGGTCCTAACATGGTTGTTGATATGTGTAAGGGAGTTCAGTACCTGAATGAAATCAAGGACTCTGTTGTGGCTGGTTTCCAGTGGGCATCAAAGGAAGGAGCAGTGGCTGAGGAGAACATGCGTGCAATATGCTTCGAGGTATGTGATGTTGTTCTGCATGCTGATGCGATCCATAGAGGTGGTGGTCAGATCATCCCAACTGCAAGAAGGGTCATCTATGCATCCCAATTAACAGCCAAACCGAGGCTTTTGGAGCCTGTTTATTTGGTAGAGATCCAGGCCCCTGAGCAGGCACTTGGTGGTATCTATGGTGTTCTTAACCAGAAGCGAGGTCATGTCTTTGAAGAGCTTCAGAGGCCCGGAACTCCACTTTATAACATCAAGGCTTACCTCCCTGTCATCGAATCCTTTGGGTTCTCGAGCACTCTGAGAGCTGCCACATCGGGGCAAGCATTCCCCCAGTGTGTGTTTGACCACTGGGACATGATGTCTTCCGACCCGTTGGAGACAGGCTCTCAGGCGGGACAGCTGGTGAGTGAGATCCGCAAGAGGAAGGGTCTTAAGGAGCAGATTACCCCTCTCTCTGAATTCGAAGACAAGCTGTAGAGCTTTATGATATAGTGACATGCCAACCTGGTGTGTACCTTGGTCCCCATGTTTATTTGCAAGATTTTTGCCTACCGAAGTCGCTGCAATTTGCTTGCCTTATGTTTTAGATACTCATTATGTTATTCGAACAATTCTTGTTTCCAGACTATGTTTGTAAGATGATTTAGACATCTCACGGGATTATTATTATTTGAACTTGTAATTTTTGCTATGTTTAGTTTCTGTCGTCTGGGGATGGATCGAGTTTACATCTTTTATTATCTTCTTTTTATTCTTCAATGCCTCATCACCATGCTTGGTTACTGGGAGAGTGGCAGTTTGAAGTAAACTCACGCTGAGTGGCAGGTCAGTGTTACTAAGACTTTCATCACAGTTTTTGCATGTAAACTCATGTTGATCTCCAGGTCTGTAGTCTTTAAAAGTTTCATGTGTTTGCTTCCTTGTAAGTAAAACGACTCCCAGGATCTTCTACTAGTCACACTTATTATTTGCCACAACCTAGCAAAATATATAGGTCTCTAAAAACTCTGGTGGTGTTAATTAATCTATTTCTTGATGAGGACAATTAGCTAATCATGAAATAAGTAAAATAATGGCATCTTTATAAAAGTTGTCGGATCATTATAGATCAGTACTCAACTTCACTTAGTCTTACATGAATTGGTCATGTGGTGTACTCGATGTATATTTTTTTGACATTATAATTTTATGTCCGTCGTAGTTAAATTATTGGGTTAAATTATTGGATCAGTAAATCTATCAGTTTGAGTTCTGATGCAGTCTCTAATGGGTTAAATGAGATAAACAAGCAAGGGATTGATAGTTTGTAATCAGTGAGTGGGAACTTTAAATGATCAGATTCAAAGAAAAATATTAGAGTTTGACATTGATTTTTGTAATTGACCAAATATAT